GGAACGGACGGGCAGCCGCCCAAAGCCCCGTCCGTCCTCCTCCTCCGGTCTTCGCGCTCTCGCCCGAGTGTGGTCCACCTACAGCGTGGTGGTACCTATTTTTGGTGCGGGGGCCGGGATTGTCCTCTTTCGCTGCTGGAGTTGCCAGAGCAGAGCCCGAGACCGCCCAAATCAGGAGAGTAGTAGTAGTAGTTTTAAGAGCGCCCCGTTCTCTTTCTCTCTGTTAATGATCCTTCCGCAGGTTCACCTACGGAAACCTTGTTACGACTTTTACTTCCTCTAAATGATCAAGTTTTGACATCTTTCCGTCAGCTCGAGGCGACGACCCCAGAAAACCCTCGCGGGCAACGGGGCCGACAATCCAAGAGCGCCAGTCCGAAGGCCTCACTAAATCATTCAATCGGTAGTAGCGACGGGCGGTTGTGTACAAAGGGCAGGGACGTAGTCAGCGCAAGCTGATGACTTGCACTTACTGGGAATTCCTCGTTCATGGGAAACAATTGCAAGCCCCAATCCCTATCAAGAAAGGCTTTGAACGGGTTACCCGCTCCTCTCGGAGGGGAAAACTCGTTGATCCCTTCAGTGTAGTGCTGCGGCGCCCAGAACATCTAAGGGCATCACAGACCTGTTATTGCTCAATCTCGTGCGGCTAGAATTGCCGCTTATCCTCTAAGAAGAAGTTGCGAACTGGACACCATTTTCTGGAGATCCGTCGACTACTTAGTAGGCCAGAGTCTCGTTCGTTATCGGAATTAACCAGACAAATCGCTCCACCAACTAAGAACGGCCATGCACCACCACCCACCGAATCGAGAAAGAGCTCTCAATCTGTCAATCCTTCCGGTGTCTGGGCCTGGTGAGGTTTCCGTGTTGAGTCAAATTAAGCCGCAGGCTCCACTCCTGGTGCCCTTCCGTCAATTCCTTTAAGTTTCAGCTTTGCAACCATATTTCCCCGGAACCCAAAGACTTTGGTTTGAAGCTGCCCGCCGGGTCATGGGAATAACGCCGGATCGCTAGTTGGCATCGTTTATGGTTAGAACTAGGGCGGTATCTGATCGCCTTCGAACCTCTAACTTTCGTTCTTGATTAATGAAAACATCCTTGGCAAATGCTTTCGCAGTAGTTCGTCTTGCGACGGTCCAAGAATTTCACCTCTAGCGTCGCAATACGAATGCCCCGCCTGTTCCGATTAGTCATTACCTCTGGTTCCGAAAACCAACAAAATAGAACCGAGGTCCTATTCCATTATTCCATGCATCACCATTCGGGCCATTCAAATAGCCTGCTCTGAGCACTCTAATTTTTTCAAAGTAAACTCTCCGCCACTCGGGACACTCGACAAAGAGCATCCGTGAGCCGGCGGGCGGTTGTTCGTGACAGTAAACACCGGCGGTGCACCGTCAGTCCGGAACTGAGATCCAACTACGAGCTTTTTAACCGCAACAACTTTAATATACGCTATTGGAGCTGGAATTACCGCGGCTGCTGGCACCAGACTTGCCCTCCAATGGATACTCGTTAAAGGATTTAAAGTGTACTCATTCCGATTGCGAGGCCTCGGATGAGACTCACATCGTTATTTTTCGTCACTACTCCCGTGCGGGAGGTAATTTGCGTGCCTGCTGCCTTCCTTAGATGTGGTAGCCGTTTCTCAGGCCCCCTCTCCGGAATCGAACCCTGATTCCCCGTTACCCGTTATAGCCATTGTAGGCGCATAACCTACAATCGAAAGCTGATAAGGCAGACACTTGAAAGAAGCGGCGCCGGTGCGGAGACCGTGCGCTCAGCCCGAAGTTATTCAGATTCACCACAGGTGGGTTACGGACCGGGGCCCGACCAGTTTTGAACTAATAAAAGCGCTCTTCCCTTGCGGTCAGAGACCAATTGCATGTATTAGCTCTAGAATTGCCACAGTTATCCAAGTAAGTGGGTTTACAGATCCAATGAAACATAGCTGATTTAATGAGCCATTCGCGGTTTCGCCTTAAATCGGCTTGTACTTACACACGCATGGCTTAATCTTTGAGACAAGCATATGACTACTGGCAGGATCAACCAGGTAGCTGCTGCTGTTGGCGGCGCCTATCACGGCGGCCAAAATAGTGAGATTGAGAGAGAGGCAGAAGACATTGGGCGAGGGACCGCACGTTGGCCTTAGAGAAATAGCAAACCAGATGATCAGATCTAACTGCACCTTCTCTTGCTATCCTCGGCGCCGGCAGCGCCACCGTGTGTGCTAATCTCCTCCCTTATCCGCTCCTCTTTGCCCCAGCTCCAGCGAGGCAGCCGACATTGGGCGAGGGACCGCACGTTGGCGAATCTCCTCCCTTATCCGCTCCTCTTCTCTTTGCCCCAGCGAGGCAGAAGACATTGGGCGAGGGACCGCACGTTGGCCTTAGAGAAATAGCAAACCAGATGATCCGATCAAACTGCACCTTCTCTCGCTATCCTCGGCGCCGGCAGCGCCACCGTGTGTGCCAATCTCCTCCCTTATCCTCTC